GCGCAATATTTATTATGGGACGCACTCTACAATAATTTGAGTTATGAATTTTTTTTACACTGAAGTTGAGTACATTACAAATTTACAAATTTTTTAAATTGTTTTTAGAATTTTTTAGAGTATGCAGTTTTGTAGCCTTTAAATTTTAGTATAGTAAGTTTTAAGCGATTGCAAACCCGCCTTAAATTTTTAATAGTCTTTATGCTTTTTGCACTTTTTTCTAAAAATGTATTAATCAAGCTCGAATTTAATATTTATTTATTATTTATGTTTATGCATCAACCCTAGAAAATTGAAAGAAATTAACACATTAAGTGTGAACCCTGTCCGCTTTGGTATGGAACGCCCCATATACATAAGTACGTATGTACGTCCATTAGGGTGGTCTACTTTGTCACAACCAACCCATAACTGAAGAAAATCGAAAACAAGAAGGCCCGCATTTTTTACTTTGATATCGAGTACTGTTTAGCCGTGCCGCCGAGATTTGAATTATCCATATACGTACACTGATAGAAATAAATTTTAGAATAAAAAAAAAATACTAACTCGTAATAAATTTGAGCATGCAAATTTAAGTATTTAGTAAGGAAATATTCAATTGAAATATGCCCACGTTAAAATGGAACATTTTGCACTTCACGGATGCTTTTTGATAATTAAGATAAATAAAACAAAAAATACAAAATTTAATTTCCATGCTGCCAGCAATGGGATTTGAACCCTGACCCTCTGGAAATTAACAAATTGTGGCAAGCACCTTTGCGCACTCAGCTACAGCCAGATATGTAATTGTGCTCTCAAATGTTGAGTTGGAATCAATACCACAGCACGCGTGCGTGGTATCAAAGTATTATTTTCAAATACGGACATTTTAAAACGATAATAAAATAAAAATAAAATCATTTTTACTACGCGTTATTCCCCTCAGTGAATTCATAATATTTTTCTTAATATTACAACGCGTTTTTTCTCTGTGTATGTATTTTATGTATTTGAGAAAATACACGCATATTTCGTAGAATTGCTATAAAAAAATATGGGGCTCCATTTTCTAAATTTCTGAAAATTCCAAAAAGTTGATTTCTGCGAAGTGATATTTTGGAACCACCTTAATGTGCATACATGGACACATGTTAAAGCTAAAATCACATAAATAACTATGTAGTTACCTTTTATAAAACTGGACGATTAGGTGGTTAATAACAGCTGTGTTCAAATAGACGAAGTGTCTATCCGTCCTTGCAAAAACAAACTTTAGTTTTACAGGCAAAAAAGATTTCTACGGTCATGTAATCTTTAAATTTTAATCGTGGAGGCAGTTCTTGTTCCTTTTAACTTTCGAAAACCTAAAACTGACTGGCATTCCAAGTCCAAGTATTCTCTTAAACTTCATAAAAATTACTAACTTATGAAGAAGAGATTGGATGCTGTACGATCGGAACATGTTTTAAGGCGCTCGGCAATATCTGAAAGGCGAAAGGTATGTTGTCAGTGGTTTTTAGACTAACGTACACTCCGAGAACCATGCATCGAAAAAGATCTCAATTTTTTGCAGCTAAGATACGCACACGCAAATATACCCGGCTCTCGTCTCTGGCACCTGTTCTCTGAGAGCACTCTTAAACAAACAGACATATGCGACCAGTGGAACCACATTTCCCACTCACTACATACCGCTGCCGAAGAAATAATTGAATTTTAGGGACCCCGAAAGAACCACTCGCATTGAATGGTAGCAGCACTGAAATTAGTAAAGAATATGAACCCGAGCCTTCAGTAGATGACGACGGAATTGTTGTACAACCCCCCATACTATGACGAAGTACGAATAGCGATTTCGCGGCTGAAAAAAAAAATCAAATTCCTGGAATTGATGGCCCGCTAGCTGAACTATGTATTTCAGTACGGAGTGCATGCATCAATAATAGTTAGACAAATTTATGCCTGACGACTATAGAGAAATACCTTTATTTCAATTGGCTTTAGTTGGTACGAGATAGAAACGACTGACGTGCTTTATTTGGCTCGAAGAAAATCTTTCAGAATGTTACAGCGGTCGCCAAGCAGAAAAAAGAGACCTAGCGCCGCTTCTTTATGATATACGAACTTATTTCATATAAATTCCAAATAAAACTCACCTGTACTCTAACTTCCGGCAAATTGACCTTCATGGCCAGCTCCTCGCGTGAATAAACATCTGGGTAGTGTGACTTTTCAAATGCACGTTCCAATTCATGCAGCTGATATGTTGTGAATGTTGTGCGATTGCGACGGTGTTTCTTCTTTGAACAATTGTCATCTTGAGCTGTAAAAAAAAAAATGTAAAAAAATAAAGAGTTTGTTATAACTTAAAGGAACCAAGGACACGAGCCAGTTCGTATCGTATAAACAGGTTGAGAATTATAGTTAGATACCTGTATAAGTTGGCGCTTCATGACGATTTGAAGCATACTTTACAACTTACTTCATAAAATGCATGCTTTTTGTGCCCAGTGAGATCGAAGCTAAACAGATACTCGAATAACACAAGACCATAAACACCTGTACCCACGAGGCAACACAAAAGGAACTATGTGTATGTACCCTGCGTTTTTGACATCGCTGAATCCAATTCCGGTGGCAGGATCAAGGGCAATTCTAGGTCGAATTTGAAAAAAAATGCATCGCTAAAAACCAAGCTAAGGTTCCCATAAGTTTCGCTTAATCCGAATCGGGTGATTTGTATAGATTAAACGGACTCCGAATTCATATTCAGCGACCGCAAAAATCTATATGTACCTATTATAGTCCGCCACGGATTCTGTATGTTTGAATATGACCCTGACCTGATGGATTGAAACGGACATCGGCTTTGTATTCAGCACCGCCAAAAAAATAAGCTAAACATAGTCCCTTTTGCTTTGCAGGGTTCGAGGTGTTTGTGGTCCTGTGTAATTTATTGCCATACTTACTTACCTTCATCATCACTACCGGATGTGATCTTCTCGCCTTGCTCGCTGGAGTTTGTCTGATTCAAGTCTTCGCTGGATGCGCAGCTCCCGTTCACCACACTGTCGGCATCATTTAGGCGATCCTGTCCGTCTCCGCCTGACCCGCTGCCACTGATCAAACGACAGTCATCCATATGCCGCTGCTGAAACTGCTGCTGTTGTAGTTGTTGTTGCTGGTGCTGATATTGTTGTCCATGCTGATGTTGCTGTTGTTGTTGTTCCATGGCGTTACAATTGCCATTTAATGATTGCTGTTGCACCTCTTCGAATGTAC